CATCTTCCCTTAAGCGCTAATGATCTAACATGTATCATGTAGAGGACCAAGTATGTTAAGGGATCCAAAGTTAACTGCTATCATGGAGCCTAGGATATAAACAACTGACAATAACCACACCACAGAGAATGAAATAGAAAACCTGGGGTGACTACAATGTGTTTTTTAAATTAAAAAAAAAAAAAAAAAGTAGCTCAGTGGTTAACAGCACTGGCTGCCCTTGTGGAGGACCCACATTCAATTCCCAGCACCCACATGGTGGCTAATAACCAACTGTAACTCCAATTCCAGGGGATCAGATGCCCTCTTCCGACCTCCCCGGGCATTGTGTGACATGAGTACACTTACATACATGCGGGCAACACACTCATACACATAAAATAAAAATAATAAATAAAATATTTAAAAAATCATTTGAAAAATATTTTGTTATTTTATTTTATGTCTATGCTTGCATGTATGCCACATATGTATATTACCTACATGTATGTAAGTGCACTACATGAATGCAATGTCTGAAGAGGTCAGAAGAGGGTGTCAGATCCCCCGGAACTAGAGTTACAGATGGATGTTAGCTGGCAGGTGGGTGCTGAGACTCAAACCAGAATCCTTTGGAACAACAGCAAGAGTTCGTAAGTGCTAAGCTACCTCTCCAGCCTCCGATACAATGCATCTTTATGTGATGCCACGAAAAGAAACAGTTGAGAGCTGTGGGAGTTTGGAAAGAGAAGGTTTTGCTTCAGATCTCATTTTTGCTGCAGGCTCCCTTTGGGTCTTATTTCAAGTAATGATTTCAGGAATAATGTAAAGACAACACAAGCAGGCACAGCACAGTCTAAAGCTATGTGGTTTTATGCAAGTGTTTGGGTATATGTGTGCTTAGGTGGAGGTCAGATCCCAGGTGAGCACTGAAGGACAAGAGGAGACAGAGGTGGTTATTTAGGCTGAGCAAGAAGTCTCCAACATCTCAGAGGTTGTACATTAGTGTGGCGCTCCACAGTTCAACAGAAAGCAGATTAGGTACAGAACCATGGCGTTACTATGCCAACATTATAATTACCTGAACTAATAATTAAATTTAGTTTTTAAGAGTGGGCCCAAACTTGGAGGACATTCATTGTCCTGGATATCTCTTGGAATGGCCTGTCTCCTGGAACTGTGCTAATGGAACTGTTTACTGGAGCTCTGTCCCTAGAGCTGTGTCCCGAGTCCAGCTCCACTCATCAAGTTTATTCAAAACGGCTTCTCCAGCTTCAAAAGGGGGAAGTACAAGCTTGACTCCACCCCAATCTTGGCAGAGCCTCAAACCTTTTCACCCCTAGTTCTAGAACATTTCATTCATCCAAGGTCATTCCTCCTTCCCAGTCTCCCCTGTGTCTAGTAGAGATGAAGCACTGCCTTTTAGAGCTTATATATGTTAATTCTCAACATACCCACATTGATTGATTGGTTCATTGATTCCTTAATTATCTTTTTGGGTGGAGTACCAAATCTAGGTTGCCTTGGAAACGAGATCAAGTGCCAAGGTCACTAGACACAAGAGCCCAAGCTTTCCCGGGTTTAGTTAAAAGTTATTAGTCCAGATTATATCCATTTATAAGTCATTCACACACAGAATAAGGTCAGAGCTGAGGGTACTTGAGCCCCTAAATGCATGTACACACATGCACACAAGCCTTTATGAATGGCTTGCTAAAGGGCTCAGCTTATTTTATGATCAAGGAAACGCATCACGGGTCTGTATTTCCAACTGTTAATGCTGGACGAAGGTGTCAGGTGGGAAGGAGGGTCATTTTAGATACTTTCTCTGGCCTGGCTCAGCCTATGAGGCACAAGGTGGGTCCTGAGGCAACAGCAGCAGTAGCTAGTGTGTTATTAGTCCATAGCACATCCCACAAATGAGAGGCCTTCCAAGGATGCAAAGATGCCAGAGCCTTGGCCCCTTTTTGTCCTTTCTATTTTGCTGCCTCCCTGTTAGGCTCTCTCTTTCTCTCTCTCTCTCTCTCTCTCTCTCTCTCTCTTTCCCTCTTACCTCCCAGCATTCCTAACTTCAGTGAGTTGGGGACCATCTCTTACCTTCTATGCTCACAGACGCTGAGTTCCAGCTGACATCAGTGATCTGCTAGAATAATGAATCCCTATCCTGGGAAGAAAATCTGCTCGGCATAGCCTGGTCCAGAGCCAGCTCTAACAACCCTTGTTGTGTAAGACTTTCCCTGGGGAGACAACACATGTCTGTTCACCCCAGAAAGGGAACCCAAAATTAACGGTTGTACAAATGTCCAACTTCTTGAACCAGTGAGTTTTTATTGGGGTCACTAATAGAAGTGTGGTTGAGACGTAACTTAGAGGAGCAGGGACAAAAGCAGCTGCATCCCCCAAAGCCCACCCAACATAGATGATGAATCAAGAAATCTGCAAACCCTGGGGCTCTCTGCACACCTTTCAGGCAGCTCCAGAATTCTCTTCTCTCTGTAGCTCAGCTGGTTAGAGTCAGTGTCTCCTCACCAACAGCTGTTTAGTTCTTTCATAAAGTTGAGGAGGAACCTTCAAGAATTTTCCAAATTTTAACTTCCCCAGACATGTAATGGTTTTTACACCCCGAGACTCATGACTTTCCTCTTCCTTCCTGGTGGTAATGTTTAAATTTGAAGGAAACTGCCATCCACCATCCTTATATGTAGCTATAGGACAGGACCATGGTAGATCAGTACGTCTGCTGGTACCTGCCCTTGGGAGGGACCGATAGTCCTCAAGGAAGAGGTTCTGAGACCTGGAAGATACTCCGCGTCTGCAGTCGGCTCTCCAGGGGTGAACTGTAGACTATAGACATCTGAGGGCTCAGTGAAAAGTTCAGGAACTGGATGACTAAGTGGAATTTGTAAACCCAATCTGAAGCAGCAGAGAAGACTGGGCTTTAGAGTTCAGTGGAGCAAGGATTAGAGATAAAAGTCAGACAGGGAGCCAGCAGACAGCAGGGAAACTTAAGGGGCCAGTGTCAAAACAAGCAAGTGCGGAAACAACAGTGCAGTGAGATGGTCGGTCTCTGAGGTCAGGGTGCAGAAAGCCAATGTGTTGTCAGGCCCATTCCAAGAGCTTCCACTTCAAGGGCTAGTTAGAGGCAAGGCAGAAATAGAGAACTGAAGCAAGTTGTGAAGTGGCCATCCAAGAGTGATTTTCTCCTAAGACACAGAGAAGTGTGTGTGGAAGTCTACTTGCACATCTATCTGTAAAGCTAGAATGAGCCATGCGGTGTTACTGCTATCAGAGAGCCCAACACTGCCATGGCTGGTATGCCAACACAGGGTGTTAGCCAAGAAGCAGGGTGCTGTGCTGAGTGGCTCTGACACCCTGGAGATTCCTCATGGAAACCTTTGTGTCCATTGACATGTTGTCATGAGAATCTCTAGCTCAGTATTGCCTTGAGCTACCCTGTTATGAAAAAGAAAATAATAAAAAGACAGTAAAGGGCCTAGGCCTAAAGGCAGTGGAGAAAGCTGATGAAAATTCAGTTGAATTCTGAGATGCTCTCAGCCCTTACCCTACATGGGATCAGGGGAGAGGAATCCTTTGCTTTTCCACAAATCCGAATAATCCCTGTGGATTTGCAGTAAATTAGACACACGGTCCCTCAGCCCTTGACACACATTGTGGGGAAATTATTTGATTTATTTGCTTGATGTACTTAAGCATTCCACTGGTCTGAGAGCAATTGGATGCATGAAGGAAATACAAATGCAACACTTAAACAACCGCCACAGTAACAGCCTCCTGGAATGGCGAGACACATCCCAGCTGTGATTGGACACTGCAAATGAGGAGATAGCTGATAGGAAACACATCACGCTTTGGAGGCAAGTAAACCAAAAGACAATTATGACTGGCCATCCCTGACTGTAATTTCATTAATCCCTAACCTGACAATTCTACATGAAGAAACCTTGGAGGCAACGGGTCCATCCTTCTCCAAGAACTGAGGAGGCTGTACCAAGGCAGAGATCACAGGGGAGACTCCATTCTTGAGTGCCAAGTGGGTTTCTTGTGGCTCACCTGCTTTAAAATACTCAGGTATTGCAAGTATTCAAATATACTAACCACCTAGGAATCACTCACTAGGACCCAGAGGGTGAAGGGCGAAAGTGATTTACTCAAGACAACAGAGTTCATAAGGCGGTAAGTGTGGTGCCTGCAAACCCAT